CAAGTGTTTCACGTAACGCGTTTCCTCCCTTCACTCCCGATAAATGGTTGCCTGGTACTTTTGAAGTAACCCTCCTTGGTGTAGGCGCGAATAAGAAAACTGTTGATAATTGGTTGGATACGACGAGTGCTTTTGAGAATCTGCTGAAAGGATTGAATGAGCGTCGTAATGGTTCTGACAGTAGTGATCAAGAAAAGAAAAAGAAGCGAAAAGGAAAAGTTATCGATGAAAGTGAGGTTGAGAGTGCTGGTAATCGTCAAATAAAAAAGTCTAAAGCATCTAAAGACGTTGAAAAGGAGAAAAATGATAAATTTAAAGCAAAGAATGCTAATATATTGACGAGCCGTCTCGCGTAAGTAAATTAATATATCTTATTCATCTAATTTCCTAATTAATTTTCTTTACTTGTAAATACAGACATCGAGCAAAATTTCTACGCAGTAAACAAGCATCCGTAAAAGACAGCAAACGTCTTAACGAAATCTTAGGGATCAAATCCAAACCTATAGATATTGTCAATGACATTAACAATAATAGCAATAAACTACAGATAAGAAAAAATACAGACATAGCTTTAGACAATATCGATGATGATAATGATAATAATAATAATAATAACAACAATAAAAGTAATGATATCGATGATCTTCATGGAATACAAACAAAAGTTAATCAGAAAAGTGTATCAGATTATTTTGCCGAGAAAATGAAAGGAAAAAAATTCAAGGAAATTGTCGCTTCATCTGATATAATGAATAATGGGGGTATTTATTAATTTGTATTGTTTTTTTTAACAACTTTTGGATTTATATATATATATATTCTTTTTTTCTTTAAAGTCGCTGGTAGTCAAATGGATATCCAATTTACATCTTTCGCGCCAACAGGATTAGGATATGTCAATAAAAATGACTCGTTCAAAGAAGATGATTCCTCTTCAACAAATTATGTCACTAGGGAATCGTCAAAATCGGCTTCTACAGCGGTTTCCGCATCCTCCTCTTCATCATCTATTCCAATTCGAAAAAGGAAAAAACGAAAATCAAATACTGCCGATCAATCCAGCAAACCCGAAAAAACCAACAAATTTAAAAGAATCAAAAATAATAAAAGAGAAACGATGATGTAAATTATTGTTTTAAATACTCGCAATTGGGGGGCATACCTCACATGTTTTTAATAATAGTGACTATAGAAAAATGTGACTCTAAATGGACTTGGATTATGGACATGGATTATAGATTTGGTTGATCAAGAATTACTTAACTGTGTATATATCAGTAATGATTTGAAAACAATAGCACTAGCTTAAGTTATTTAAATGAAACGTTACGATGAAATAGAACACTAAAAAGACTAGTGTAGAGATATTACATATAGTTTTTTAAATAAACAAGGGATTTCACATGTAATACTTTACACCTTGAAATATATGCAGTAATGGATTTTTCCTGCAAACACTTTGATGAAATATAACCAACAGTATTTCGTAAAAATTAAACATGCAAATACAAAACGAGTCCACTTTGACTGTTTAATGAGATAAAGTCCATTCATTATATTTAATATTTATCTGCACACCAAATATGAGCGATTTTTCCACTTAGAACAGGTTGTATTTTTTTCCTGCCAATTTCAGAACTGGTAGCATCACTCAACATTTTCTTTTGATCGTTTTCGTCCGGCAAACATTCGAAAGCTTTCACAAATTGGAATGGTGTTGGATATTTTTTCACGATTTCTATAGCTTTCTCGGCACTTACTCCTTTAATCGTCATTAGCATCTTCAGAAACGTATCGCGTACGGTTAATGATGCATGCTTGTTATTAATCTCTGAATACATTTCGTAGGAAATGTGATATGAGCGTTCAGGGTGTAGTTTGGCTAAGTGTTGTTTCAAGTTCAGAAAAGTATTGCGAAATACGACGCTATTAGGAATGACAAACAGTGGTTGAGTCTGACATTACCAAATACATAATCTTTTAGTCAGTATAAAATCGTCGAAAATTCGGAAATTGAATTAAAGCTATTAGCTAACCTCGTACTTAGATTTCAACTTTCCTGTCAATGCAACCAGATAGTCAACCGTCTGATCAATATTTTTCGTCCTTTTTAAGAAAAAGCCATTTATAACCTGAGTCTCTGACATTGCTGTTTCAATGGCTTGCATTCCAAATTTTTCAGCTTCTTCCATATTATAATCTTCTATTAAATAGATCACTTGTTTTGCACCAGCTTTTGAAAGACGGAACTATTAAATTAATTTTATTAACAATTATAATAATAATAATAATGATAAACACCAACATCAGCATCATCATCTAACTCGACAGAATTCATCCACAGATAATTATACCTTTTGTTCTTTGAAACGACCATCTTTTATGCTCATTACTAAATCATCCATTCGTTTTCTTTCCATTATATAGCCCAATACGATTTCTTCAAGATTCCTTCGTGCTATCCAGATCATATCTCCTAGCTCAAGCGATCTTGTTTGAGTATTTATACCTCTCATTTGTAATTGTTGTTGAAAATAATCACGATCTTGTTGCATGCGCTTTTCACGATTATCAATAAGGAGGGTTACTTCAAAAGTACCAGGCAACCATTTATCGGGAGTGAAGGGAGGAAACGCGTTACGTGAAACACTTG